AGTCATACTGGCTGAGGTGGGCTACTAGTGAAGTAGCTTTTTTTGAGTCACCCATGTTTCTTCTAGTAATCCCTCACCTATGCTTCTGGAAATAGCGCCAATAAAACTCATTGGTTCATCATGATCATCATCATCAACAACAACTATAGGCTAATTGGGAGGGGAGGAAGATGGGTTTAGCTAAGAATTTGCCCTGTTGTGAGAAGATGACCAGTGCTGGACACCAACAGTCAGAACTAAGATATTTATTCCACAACAGTTATGCCTAAAAAGTGAGAGTATTAAGTTCACTGAATTTTGGATTTGAACAAGAAAATGGTTAACATTCTTGCCTTCCTCTGTCTCTACTCTCCTTCTTTTCTCTCTTTGTTAAAAGTTTCAGTTACTATATTGGTGTCAATGTTAAGTGGAAACCGAGAAAGAGTATTTATAATTTTATGACAAGCAAGAACTAATAACTTAAAATTACATTAAGTTTTTATGAAAATCCATTTCCTTGGCTGAACTGTCCTTTGCTTAGACACTTCTCCCCTTAACCAAATATATGGCAGGCCTGATCCTTCTAGTGACTAGAAATTCGTACATGTTCCTTTGATGAAAGAAATGTTCATGGAAGAATATGGTCATTGTTGTTGGGTATCTTTATGGGTCATTGGATTAGATGTTATAATTTTATATTCTAAGAGGATAAATACTAACTTAGATGAAGAAAGCATATTTACAGGGTTAGGGGAAATATAATCTGCAGAAGCTAAAGGCTTGATTTTCTTGGCTGGCAAAATATATTTTAAGTAATTCCAGAGCTGACGCAAAGACAAATGAATATCCCCATGGTGTAATCACCTAGTTGAAAAATCAGGTGACTTCAGTCTTCACAGTCCCTTTCAGCACAGGAAGTTTTTATAGTTTTTTTCTCTCTTGGTTGGTAGATGAGTCAATGTTTAAATGGTCGTTCATCATTTACTATATAAAAGAAAAGCTATTACCTGAAAGTCATTTTTATAGTTACAGGCAAACAGAAATAATCATTTTCAAGGACCTAGAGCTGTTTCTTGAAAGAAGCCATCATTTTATACTTATTTTACTTACTCTTTACTTGCATGTGAGCCAGCCTGAAGAGCTGCACTCTGCAAGTTCCAGCTATAAAGAGTTTCTACCACTTTCATTCTGCATCAGGCAACGGAGGAGATTGAGCCCCCAGGGATTCATAGGTATCATTCAGACTGACTAGGAGAATGAATAGAAGGTAGAAATGGGCCACAGCAGTCATCACTTCCCTTCTAAGCTAAGTCTTGGAGACGCTGTAAGCAGCAGTATGTCTCAGTGAAGAGCTGTTGTTCTTCTTAGGTAATGACTATTGAGATATAGAAAGGGCTTATGATACACAAGGTAGTTGAACAATGACCTTCATGATAGCAATGACTTAAAAATTCTTCAAAGATATATTCTTCAAAGAGATAGCTTGGTGATTAATAAAGTGTGGAAAATCTTGAAAGTCCCTTAGAACTAGTTTTCAGCTTCCCTTCTGCTGTTTAAATGTGTAAACAGTCAATTCATGGGCCTTTAAAAATATCTATGTCAAATATTTAGATTCCTGCCTGAGATTACTTCTTTGTCTAGCCTAAGATTAAAATTCCTACCTGAAATTACTTCTTTGTTCTAGCCTAATGTCAGATTCCTGCCTGAAGCCTACTTCCTTGTCCTTGGCCAATGTCATATTCCTGCCAAGCAGCCCATTTTCTTGTCCTTGGTCCATGACAGATTCTTGCCAAGCAGCCCCAAAGGCTCTCAACCTCTCCCCCTTTTAATTTCATTAACAAGACTGAGACTGAGCCTGTCTTAGGTCTTTCTGACAAGAATGCCTTCCTTACACATCATGGAATATGCATTATCAAAAGCAATGCACTTCTGTCTTAGGTTGGTAAGGCTCTGTGCAAAGTCTTATCTGTCCTTGGCTTTCCAGCCTATTAATTTAATAACTGTCTGGGGGAGCAATTTCAGACAGGAATTTTAGGCTAGAACAAAGAAGTAGGCTTCAGATATGAAAATGACCTTGGGCTACGACAGGGAAGTAGGCTCAAATACTTTGGTCATCCTGATAAGCCCTTAGAAACAGTGATCATGGGAGTGTTCATGTAATTGGGTTTAATGCCTTGCTTTTTCTTTGACTATTTGTGTTTTTTGTCTTGCTTCTTCCTTGACTATTTATATCTATTGTATTGCTAGACCCTCAACCTAGAACTGACCTTAATACATGCATGTAATTAAAATGGTATAAAAGCATAAAGGAGGAAGGGGGATGGGATAGAGTGTTCTAGAGAGGGAAAATGGGGAAAGGGGATGACATCTGTATTTTAAACTATTAAAATATCCAATAAAAAATTAAAAAATGTTTATGTCTTTTTGTTGTTGCTTTTAATCAATGCTAAAAGGAATACTCTAATGGTTGCTGAATCAGAGGAGTCAAACAGTGTAAACACATCCCCAGGAATCAGTTGTAGGCTCAATTCTGTCATTTTCTTGGGTCAGAACAACCTACTCTGTCACATAGTTTCAGAGAACTTCTGCCTTTCAACTTACCTACATGACTCCATCATCAGCACTGGACTACATAGAAACTCCTAGGAGCTCTCATGTTCCTTTCCCTTGATATCTAGCATCATGTTAAGTTTGGGAAATCCTCTTTTCCCTAAGGTTTTTCTCTATCCCCATAAAGTCTTCCAAATCTATAGTTTTTACCAAGGAGAAAGACCAAGAGAAGAAAGGGGAAAGTAATACTTAACTATTTTTAACTTTTGATTTTTTTTTTTTTTGCTCTAATACCGAGGCCATGCACTCCCATAGGTCCATTGTGAATCAATAAGTCTTCCCTAAGGATAGAGTAAGCATTCAGTGGCCTCTGAGGACCTTCATCTTACAAAATAAAGTCAAAAACGTGTTGCAGTGTTAGAATCAATTGGTGAGGACAATACAAAATGAGAAAAACTTACAATGAATCAGTAATGTTAGTCAACCCTTTCAAATTTCAGTAGGCACAGCCTTTCTGCACATTTGGGAAGTAGAGATTGCTCTGCATCTACCCAGCATACTATGTATTTATTCTGCTTCTAGACACCACTTGCATTTGTGGAATTCTTGGGGAAATTTTGTAGCATCCCTACAACAGACAGCCTCATCCAAAGATTGAGAAAGTCATTGGAAAGTTTCTGTGGATTAGGATGATATTTATAAGGTGATAGAGATGGAAAAGAATATTTGTAAACACAAGAGACTGACTGGAAGGCATTCTTATTTAGCTGTGGTAGCTAAAATTTAGGACCTGGGGCCCGGGGCAATAGAAGCAGGTGTACTTGGTTGGACATAAAGAATATGAGTCTCTTCCTTCTTTCATTCCTTCTTTCATTCCTTCCTTCTTTCCTTCTGTTCTTCCTCTTTCTCTTTTTGTTATTTGTTTTCTAGATATTGACAGAAAATTTAAAAAGCTGAAAGTTTATTTGTCATTTATTAAAAGTTAGGAAAATGTTGCTTCTAGGAAAAATAATTTAAGTTATCATACACTGCTCATTAATTTCTCTCTGTCTCTCTGTCTCTGTCTCTCTCTCTCTCTCTCTGTGTGTGTGTGTGTGTGTGTGTGTGTGTGTGTGAGAGAGAGAGAGAGAGAGAGAGAGAGAGAGAGAGAGA